CAGTGCATTTAATGGAAGCTCTTCAAACAAACTCATGAGCAGCTTCCTACATGCTTCGTATTCGTGGAGCATCCTAGCAAGGCGGAGAGCTTACTGCAGTAAAAATTTAAGAACAGCAAAATAGCTTCAGATCCTTATCTTCTCATGGAACCGCGATGAAATATTGCACTGCAGGTTGTATGAAACATTGTGAGCCAAACTGGATGCCTGTAATCATTTCTCCACAGTGAAGTTATTACTATTTCACACACACACAAAAAAAAAGGTTGATACCTTACTCTGAAATTGCCTTGGCACTTGCAAATCATATACATCAAACAGTTCAGAGGAGAAACCAACTGTTGATAGCCTCATCTTCAGCATTCACACATTTGAAAGAGAGGCTTTAAAAATGATGTGTTTGTATAAACCTATGCACTTGCAAAGCTAATTTCAATAGCTTTACTTATAACCCCTGCATGAGTTAAGCAAGCTTTTCCCTCCCATGCACTGAATTAGAGTGTTCCTCCAGTCTTGCTAACTGATATCTCACTGCATGGAAAAACTTAGACATTTCTTACGACTTATTTCAGTATGGCAGCAAGCAAAACTCAAACACACATCCAGTGTTTCTTTCTGTGAGGGCAAAAGGACAAATGTTTCTTAAGATTTTTTAGGCTCCTGTGGATCCACATCCGCCCTACATTCAAACACTCAGCAAGACTGAAAGGAAAAGGGTCACCCACCTCTCTTGTTGGGACTAACACCAGTGCATAAGGCCCATCACTTCGCTGCAAACAGAGAAGGCTGCTAAGAAGAATGCAGTGCTCATACATGTGACATTTCCACTATTAGCACTGATAGCTGACAAAGCAAATTCTCATGGGTTTTAGTACAAACTTGCACACCATGCTTTGAGGTATTCCCCTCCCCTTTTAAAAAAGTTTTAAGAAAACCACCTCTTTTTCAAATATCAATACCTCACTGCCACCTCTTCTCTGCTCTGACACCCGCCTACAGTCAGACCCCACATTTTATTCCACATACTAGAATTTATTCCACTGTACCCATTTATTCCAAGGGCTGGAAAAGCATCACCCCAACTTTGTTACGGGTTGAAGGCTTTCCACAAAACACAATGCACAAATGAAGGCAGCAGCATTCTCTGGCCAACCAGGTGATCCAAAGCAAATAACAAATCTCACTTGATGTTGAAAATTAGAAGCCTATTATTTCAATGGACATGGCAGTAACCTTTGTTTTCAGTTTTCCAAGATTCCAAACAGTTCACAGAATCATAGAATCACCAAGGTTGGAAAAAACCTAAAAGATCTTCCAGTCCAACCTATTCCCAATAGCTCCCACTAAACCACGTCCCTCAACACAACATCCAGCCTTCCCTTGAATGTTGTTGTCTCTCCTGCAATCCACCTGCTTCCAGCTTTACAATATAGCCCATTTAGCTGTTGCAGGATGTGAAAGCAAATGTGCAACATTTTATATATGAGAACATCTACATTTTTCTTACATCATCTGTACCTCAACAGTACAGGACAATCACATAAGCCACATCACGAATGAAAAAAGTGAGACTGCTTAATCTTTGTAACAAGAATAGGCACTGATGACTTCAAGATGACAGAATTTATTCTTTATTAATCTTAGTATCAAAACTAAACATACTCTGTTGCACCTACCTGTATTTTGGATTTCATTCCTTGCAAAGACTGTACAAGTGGAATTCCATAGGCGAGAGTTTTACCTTCATAAAAGGAAGAAAATTGGAAGAGTATTCAAGAAAAGAAAAAAATTAAAAAAGGAAATTATGGTACTCCAGAAAATAAAGGTATAATTCACCCCACTATTCTTAAGCTGAGGTCAGAACTTGGAAAAGTCTTAATTAAGTAGAATGTTTCCAGGAAGGAAGACTGGTAGATCATACGCTCAGGGGTTAAATTAAAAAGGAGAGAAAGCAGAATAAATCCATCTAAATAAATACTTCCACTCAAGAAAATGTGACATCAAGACAGTTAACTGTAGAGTAAGCACATAAGTTTATTTGATGAGAGCGTGCTGCTTAGCTCCACTGGCATCCTGGACTGGCATCCCCAGCACAAGCCTTGGAACTGGCCCATGTGCAATAGCTGGCAGCTGCACATCACCATTCAGTGCCACCACTGGGCACTGTGTCATTACAGAAGTTTGCACAGCATCTGTCTGTGCCACAGCATTCCCACCCCAGGGTTCTGAGCCTGTCACTCTCATAAGCTGTACCAGAAACATGATGTTTTGGTTCTTTTTTTCAGATCCAACTTAAAATGCCCTAGGAATGGAAACTGGCAATTAAGCACTGACCTGAACCAGTCTGAGATCTCACCAGAGCATCTTTGCCTTGCAGGAGCACAGGAATTGTTTGCTTCTGAACACTGCGTAACAAACAAAGCAGGTCAGGAAATACAGAATGCAAGAGAGCATAGAAACCTAAGGTTATAACATACAATAGCTGTTTCAAAACTGTTTACTCTTAATTCTGCACGTTCATCTCTGCTGTACAGCTACACCAGTAAAGGTGGCTTTTGAGGAAAGTCTACAGATACAAGTTAGGTATGATAAATCACAAAAACAGATGATTTTATGATTTGAGTACCAAATTAGGAGCTAGGATTCCTAGGTTTCACTTCTACCCATGACAATGAATTGCTACGTAACTTAGAAGTCATTTACTGTCCCAAAATGTGAAAGAAACAAACCCCATGGAGTGGGGCAGCTTAACAGCTGCTGCTGCCTTCACAAACCAATTATATGTCATGAAACAATCACACACGACTGGCTTTAAGAGTCAGTGAAACGTGAAGTTTTGATATGGTATTTGCTTACCTGGTCATACTATGTATCTTCAGAACTGTAGTTATTGTGGCTATCTAGAGAGAGAATGAACAGCAGTAAACAGGTTTTGTTGTCAAACTGTCTTTTTTGTTACTTCTGTAGCACAAGACAAAGCAGAAACCAGAAAACACCTTCTCTACTAGCCCAGGACAACCAAATGGGAAAGTTTCAACATCCTCAAAATACTTCTACTAGTTCATCAGAATTACACCACTGCTGGTGCAACATGAAATACCAGATTTGTCAAAATACTGAAATTCTCAAACAGTTTTCAGTGGTTTCCACATTACAGATGGAAACAGCAAAGGGTCCTGAGTCACTGTGTGCAGGGATGTCAGGATACTGGTCAGCACACTAAGCTAAGAGACTGCAACACAATCAAAGCACTGTTGAGTCTGTCCAAGTCGCCGTGAATATAAGCACATCTCTCATCTTTCAAAAGTCACCCTCCCTTAAATAGCATGTTCTAAGGCACAAAGCCCTCACAGCACTCACCAGGTGTGGATGGAGGTCCAACTGGCTGAAAGAGTCTGTAGTGAAAACATTTTCTTGCACCTGCTGCACTGCTTTTCTGAGTTAGGGAAAACAAAGCAAAGCAAACAGTAAACAATTACACATGAGCATTTCATGTAGAAAGCAAAGACACCAAATGCCAAGCAATTGCTTTGCCAAAGCAAGGGCTAGAATTGAAGACTGAAACACTGAAATTTGTAAGATACCTGTGAATTTCTGGGATATCAGGGTTGTTTTTAAACAGGCTGGATGTCTTAATGAAAAGTTTGCTTTTCTGGCTTTCGTTTTGGTTGGCAGTCAGTTGCTTCTTAGGAAGAGATCTTCGTGATGAGCTTCCCTTTTCCCTGGTGCCAGTCTCTGCAGCACGTTTCTTGAAGTTGTTTACTGATGGCTTAGATTTACGTTTCAGAGGTGGGTTTCCATGTGGTGACGACTGGAGCTTTCTTTTCAGAGCATTACGCTGCTTTGATGTTAGCAAACAGACCAGACAGCAAGAATGCATTAATAAATGAGGACTGAGTAAATGGTACCATATCTCACTCACAGTGAACAACAGAAATATCAGCCCCAAAATTGATCCCTTCTTTTTTAAATCCTCTGCACCTTAATTAAAGAAACAAAGGTAGATTTTTATATATAGTCATAAATAAACTAGGAACTGTTTAGCTACAAAAAAATCACTCTCAAAAGCTCTGCAAACGTCCTCACATCATCAAAACAAGCTCATAGGAATTCTTTATTTCTCTTAGGAAGAAGAACCCCATCCTTCACTCCAACCCGTGCTCCTGCCAGCTTCCAAGATTTCTGAGCTCTTTTCCTTTTACAATTGGATTCTTTTCCTTAACTTCCAATCTGAAGAAAGATTTTTCCCTCCAGAAACAGCGAGAAAGGAAACTAATTTCGCTTCCTTTGTCCCTAAAGCTCTTTCGTATTCCTCAGCCCTTTCTCAATGAATATTTGACACACCTGCAGAACTCCCCAGCGAGGCAACGTCCCCACACTGCCTCGCTTCGCCCGTTCCTCTCTCTTCCCCACTTCTCCCTGTCCTCCTGTGAACCGCACCGTTCTCAAGCCCTATTCGTCTTCTCCACTCTCTTCTTCACGTTGTTTGGCATTAAAGAACTTCTCAGCTCAGACTCTCGGCTGTCCAAGATTTTCACAGCGACCGAATCCCAGCCGCTCGCCCAGCTCCGCAGGTCTCACACCCGGCCCCCTCGTTACCCTCAGCGCTCCCCCCACAGGGATTCACCCCCTCGGCCTCCCCCCCTCCCCGCTCTGTGGAGGCTGACGCGCCACCAGCAGCGCCATCCTCGCTCACCCAACCCAACAAACCCCCGTCCTTCCACCCGCAGCGACTCGCGACGCTCTCATCTCGGCATCCCCGCGGGAAATCACAGTGCTCGGAGAAGCCCCCTCAGCCCCGCGTTTTGCCGCCCCCAAGCGCCCCGCGGTTCCTTTCCCAAGCGACCCCCCTCAGGGAGGAGGAGGCACCCACCCGCCCGAGGTTGAGGAGCAGCGGCCCGTCCTCCTCCATGGCGCCGAGGTAACCGCGCTCAGGCAGCGCCGGGGCAGCCGCACAACGCGGGGCCTTCGGCGGCGGCGGCGCATGCGCGGTGCGGGCGGGCCGGCCGCGAGGCGGCGGTAAGATGGCGGCGGCGGCGGAGAGCGGGGGCGGCCCGTCAGCGCCGGCGGCGGGGGAGGAGGAGCCGCCTCTGGGACTCGATTCGCTGGTGGAGGAAGCGGCGGCGACCGCGGCGGCCAGCGCGGGGTTCCGATTGACGGCGGTGAGGAGAGAACCGGCGGTGCGGCTGCAGCACGGGGTCAGCGGGTTGGAGCCGCTGGCCTGGTCGGAGGATCACCGGGTGTCGGTGAGCACCGCCCGCAGCATCGCCGTGCTGGAGCAGCTCAGCGACGTGCACGGCGGCGGGCAGGAGATGGTCATCCATCGCACGGCCGTGCCCGCGCCCGGCGCCGCCTGCCTGCTGAAGGTGAGCGGCTGCGAGGCTCCGAGAGCCGTACGGGGACGTGGTACAGAACGGCTCCGAGGACGAAGTGCCGCTCCAAGAATCGCTTCAGCGCCGACACTGAGAGCTGCGGGTGTAATTCTGAGTGGAAATGCTGCTCGTGTTGCTGTTGGAGCGGAAAGATTTCCACGTTTCTCTTACGTTCCTCACCCACACAGCACTCAGCCCCGGCTGAGCATCTCAGTAATCAGTCAGTGTCACTAATCATTAATGTTATATTTCCAAATCAACACTTGAGATTACATAAAGCACCTCATATTTCATTTTACTCCACTCTCAGTGTTGTTTGAAATCCCCCTCTGGACAGCTTGCAGAGCTGTTGTATGAAAATATTCTTTGGTTCAGCAGACAAAGATTCAGAAACCTGAAGTCCTGGAAGGATGCAGCTCAGAGGGAACACTGATGGTTGGATGTGATCTTTGCAGTCTCTTGTAACTTTAGTGATTCTAAGTCAGAACTTATACAAATTTTGGCCAACAGAGAAGCTTCAGTCACCAAGATTGACATCAAATAACTTGAGCGCTGTAGCACAGGTTGTGATAGAAATGCTCTGTTTCAGATGGCTCAGGCTGGACCACGCTCTGTGCACCTGACTGAGCTGTACGTGTCCCTATTCATTGCAGGCAGTTGGACCAGATTGGCCTTTAAAGATCCCTTCCAGCTCAAATGCTTCTACAGTTATTAACTCCAAAAAAGTCTTCTTCAAATAACATTCTAAACCTTATGTTTTTTTTCGTCATCTTTCAGGTTGGCCCAAAAAAGGAGGTAGCGGAATGCAAAGAAAAGTTTGCCAATTCCATGGATCCAACTGTTAGTCAGACTTTTATGCTGGATCGCGTGTTCAATCCAGAGGGAAAGTCGCTGCCGCCGATGCGAGGATTCAAGTATTCCAGCTGGTCACCACTGGGCTGCGATGCCAACGGAAGGTGCCTGCTTGCAGCTTTAACCATGGACAATCGATTGACCATCCACGCAAACCTCAACAGGCTGCAGTGGGTGCAGCTGGTGGACCTGACGGAAATCTATGGGGAACGTTTGTATGAAGCCAATTACAGACTGACGAAGGCTGACACTCCCAGGGGAGAATTAGAAGACTTCTCTGAATTTCAGCGGCGGCACAGCATGCAGACCCCAGTACGCATGGAGTGGTCGGGTATCTGTACCACTCAGCAGGTTAAACACAACAACGAATGTCGGGATGTTGGCAGCGTGCTCTTAGCAGTGCTCTTTGAAAACAGTAACATTGCGGTTTGGCAATTTCAGCTTCCGTTTCTGGGTAAGGAATCAATTACTTCTTGCAATACCATAGAGTCCGGAATAAGTTCTCCGAGTGTCCTGTCTTGGTGGGAATATGAACATAACAACCGAAAGATGAGTGGACTTATTGTAGGCAGTGCTTTTGGACCAGTTAAAATCCTTCCCGTCAATCTGAAAGCAGTCAAAGGCTACTTTACGCTCAGGCAGCCCGTAGTCTTATGGCAAGAAATGGACCAGTTGCCAGTGCATAGTATCAAATGTATTCCTCTTTACCATCCCTACCAGAAATGTAGTTGTAGCTTAGTGGTGGCTGCAAGAGGAGCTTACGTGTTTTGGTGTCTTCTGTTGATATCCAAGGCAGGTCTGAATGTCCATAATTCCCACGTGACAGGGCTACATTCTTTGCCAATTGTATCTATGACGGCGGACAAACAGAACGGCACAGTGTATACGTGCTCCAACGATGGAAAGGTAAGGCAGCTGATTCCTATCTTTACAGATGTTGCTTTAAAGTTTGAGCACCAGCTGATTAAGCTCTCAGAAGTGTTTGGCTCTGTGAGGACTCACGGAATAGCTGTTAGCCCCTGCGGTGCATACTTAGCAGTTATTACAACCGAGGGCATGACTAACGGCCTTCACCCTGTTAACAAAAACTACCAAGTTCAGTTTGTTACCCTTAAGACTTTTGAGGAGGCAGCTGCACAGCTCTTGGAATCTTCTGTACAGAACCTTTTCCGGCAAGTGGACTTGACAGATCTTGTACGCTGGAAAATCTTGAAGGATAAGCATATTCCTCAATTTTTACAGGAAGCACTGGATAAAAAGATTGAGAGCTGTGGTTCTACTTATTTCTGGCGGTTTAAGCTGTTTCTCCTGAGGATTTTATACCAGTCAATGCAGAAAGCTCCCTCAGAGGTGATGTGGAAACCTTCCCACGAGGATGCAAAAATACTGATATCTGATTCCCCTGGAATGGGCAGCACTGAAGACGATCAAGAGGAAGGAACTTCTAAACAAGCCAGCAAGCAGAGCCTATGTGACACAGGCAAAGGTATGGACATAGATGACACTGCAGATGATTCTCTTCCTCAGTCGAGTGACATAGGAGGCCGTGAGCCAATGGAAGAAAAGCTTCTTGAAATACAGGCACAAATTGAGGCAGTAGAAATGCACTTGACACGAGAACACATGAAACGGGTGTTGGGAGAAGTTTATCTACACACATGGATTACAGAAAACACCAGTATTCCCACCAGAGGAGTCTGTGATTTCTTAATGTCCGATGATGGATATGATGACAGAACAGCACGAGTAAGTGCACCTCTATGCTCTGGGGATTTGGTGTTACAAGTTCTTTCACCCCCTTCCACAACCCTAAATGAGAACACAGCTTGGGTAGGAAAGAGAGCTGTAATCATGTAATCCTCACTAGACAGCTCCTACAGTGCATACATCTTAAGTTGTGCTTCCTTGAAATTGTGGAACAAGAGGGAATGGAAGTACAGATGTTGAAGTCTGGATCAGGTACAATAAACATGTGTAAACACAGTTTTGGCAGAACATGGGAGAGGCTCAGTTATTCCACAGCTGTTGGTAGGTTTAGAAGGTGTGCTGATTGAGAAGAATGTTTTTGTGGCTAAGTTCACTTAATTTAGCATCTCTTCAAAACTAAACCTAGGGGCTGTATCCTCTAGAAAGTTACATCTGCAGTTGCAGATGTAAGAGTTGCAGGCCTGCATTTCTCTGGCAGGAAATCAGTGATCAGTGAGCCCTGCACTGGGCAGTGAGGTTTCCTTCAGACAAGGAAGCTTCAGTGGGAATGCTGCCCTCAGCCTCCCTGCTCTTAAGACTGGATGACAGGATTGTCTCACATTTGTCTATGCCTCTTTGTACAAGCAGAGAACAATGCTTTCCTGTACCTAAATTCTCAAACCACTTGAGCTGTAAAAGCCAATCTTTACATTGCATCCAGAAGGACAAACAAGCACAGTTTCTGTTACTGATGCAGTGTAGTGTTCTCTGCAAGCAAGCAGGGCACAGCTTCGGCTCTTCAGTAATTCACTGGAAAAGCATTCTGGCAGAACTGCTGTGCTTTTCTAGGACCCAGTTACTATAAACTGAAGGCTTAAGATTCTACTTCTTACAGTGATTAAAAGCTGACTTCCAAATTCTATTTTATCTATTTGGTTTGCTGTCACATTTTAAAGGTTCTCGGGATGTGGTTTACAAACTTGACATTGAAATGACAAATCTGATCATGTAGAGGTTCTAGTGTAAACGTTGTGTATCCTCTGTGATGACTGCTGAACACATACATCCCACTAGGTGCTGGATAGGTGTTTTGGTTTGGTTTTTTTTTTAGCACATTCACTGTGATACACATAAAAACTTCACTGTAACACTGAGATCTTCTAAAGTGCTACAACATCAACTTTTCCAGTGGCGTTTACATTTATAATTAACCTAACACTGTTGCTTTCTGTACCCCTTTAGTACAGCACAGATTAATCTAGGAGATCCTGATAAAGCAAGAATCAATTAACGTCTCTTTGACAGCCTTATGTTTCTGCTTCTGGATATGCTTGAGTGAAGTGGATAGGTCTTTGCATCCTGTATCATGCTCTAAAATCACTATATCCTGAGAGACTCCTCTACCTTTCAGTAGGCAGCTGTCTTGCTATAAACGATGCTGACTGCTGTGTATTCCCAGGTGCTGATTGGGCATATCTTAAAGAAAATGAACAAACAGACTTTTCCAGAGCACTGCAGCTTGTGTAAGGAGATCCTGCCATTCACTGATCGCAAACAGGCAGTCTGCTCCAATGGACATATTTGGCTCAGGTAATCTGTCCTTAGAGTTTTTGCCTTTCCCCTTCCTCCCCTACATAAATTAAACGTGTTTCAATATCTAACATCAAATTCTTTGTAGTTCTGGAGTAAGAAGTCGTGAAGTCTGTTGCCATACTGCAATTAATTGCTTTTTTTTTTTTTTTTTTTGCTGGCTCTTATGTGTCCTCATCCCTGAAAGAGAAGAACACTGCAGTTAGAGAAAACACTGTAGTTGGGACTTGGATCTTTTATCAGTATGCTGTTTTCAAAATAAAATGCTTTTGATCATTTAACTCTTTTCTTCAAGCACGGGGAGGGATGGGACAGGGAGAACGCAGGGGGAGGATGAGAAATGAAGCACATGTCATCCTTTGGAACAGCATGTAAAAGTATTCTAGCTACTTCAGCACTGAAAACAAAGTGAAAAATGATAGGCAGCAGCCATGCTGAGAAGTCAGACATATTCTGGAATATCTAGAAAAGGAAATATTTCCACATCAACGCATCAGGATGCTGTTGGTCCCTGGAGCCTTAGCATGGCAGCAGTCTCACTTCAGAAAAGCCTTTCCCACATACATTTTTCTTAGCAGATGTAAGAGCTATTTTGGCTATTTTGGCTAAATCATCACTGCTTTTGGTTGGAGACACCGTGGTTCTTCCCCTGTGCAGTGGCTGTGGGACATTTTGCATCTTCTACTGTCCACTAGAGTTCTTGGGCCAATAATGAACCTTTTTTCGCTAGAAAGCTGGGTTTGGGGCTTTTTAACTATGTTGTGCTTGTGAAGTTTCACTTACTTGAATGAATGAACTGTCAGTTCTTGTGTTTGATGTGGCTCACGCTGCCCTTACCTCAGGAGGCGAGGTCTGTTGGGAACAGAACCCAGCCAGCCTGTGGGCAGGGTGTGTGAGCAGGTTACCAAACCCCAAGCTTTGGGATTGAAAGCAACTTGTCCTTTCTCAGGTGCTTTCTAACCTACCAGTCCTGTCAGAGTTTGGTGTACAGGAGGTGTTTGCTTCACGACAGCATTGCACGGCATCCAACCCCAGAAGGTAAACCATTCCTGTGGCCCAAAAGGGCAGGACTGTGTATTTTTACATCTTATTTGCATAAAGACCTGAATTAATTTCACTGACTTTTCTCTTTCAGGCAGCTGTATGAAGGTACTAGTATGCACTGCGTGCTGTCCTGGTTTTGGCATGCCTTATTGGTAGATGTTAATTACAAAATAGCTACTATGGAAATTAACTTGTTAGTATTGTATTTTATGACAGCTGGTGAACATGTAAACTACAGTAGGGTGCTACAGCAGTTAGGTTATATTCAAGCTAAAGAAATGAATCAACACACAGTTCTGCAGATGTGGGATGTCCCTGACATTCAGTGCAAGTTGTATTGATGCAGCACAAGTTAAGAAAAAATGAGCATCCTGCTGGCTTAGGCCCCAAATTCTGTTGATACTTTTCCTCTATAAGGTGTGAGAATTCCTGTCATCACTAAGATCAACTACAGAACTGAAACCTCCATAGAGAGAGGCTGTAACCTTCATTACCTCCACATTGGAGGGGGACAAAGAGGAAGGAATTACAGACTGCAAGCAGCGCATGTAATTTCATTTAAAAAACAAGGATGTTAAATTCTGGCATTGTGATTCTTCAATTTTTGTTGCCTGTTTGAATTATGTGACTTTTTCCCATCTGAGACTGCTTAGCTGAGTATGTAATGATGAAGCATCGACTGTTTCACCTTAGTTTTGTCGCCTGCTGAAATGAGATTTAAGCTGTCATTACTTGGAATTTCAAGTCAGAAATGGAGTTGGACTCCCTGCACTCTCAGTTAATCCTGCATGGTGAATGTATGCAGACTTTCAGGATTGCTGTTTAGTCTGTCCATGTCAGCACCATTTCTGTTCATCTGCATCTCCAGTTCTAAAGAGTGTTTTCTTATTTGCAGATCCTGAGTGGATCAAGAGGTTATTGCAAGGGCCCTGCACGTTCTGCGACTCTCCTGTGTTCTAGACAAGAGCTGTGTAAAGACTGAAACTATTTTCTCTACTGCATAAGCTCCCTTCACAGTCTAGAATGATATCAAGTGCAGGAATACAAACTTTACTGGAGGGGGAGGACTCTGTCTGACCCTGTAAATAGAACGCTGGATGTTCTAGAAACCCCCTGTGTCCAGAGGCCATTCCATGCTCCAGCAGCAGAAGTACATCTGGAAGAGTGAGCTCATTAAGCACCCCATTGATGTGTCAGCAGCTGGACATGCTTCCTTTCACCGAAAAGAAACTGAAGTCTTAAGCACACAGAGTGAACTGTCCTCTCTGCAGGACAACTGTGTGATTTCCCAAAAGCTGGGAGGGAACAGCAGAGCTGCCTCTTGAATAGCCTTGGTGGGTAGAGCAGGCTTTAACTTGTAGTGCTTGTTTGCCTTTCCCCCCACAATACGGGCACTTCCTGCAGAATATTAAACGAACAAAACATTTTGTGGTTCTAATTTCTTGAAGAGCAAAGCCAGGGTCAGTTGCAGCCATAGGAAAGAAATGGGCCGACACATTAGTTTCACCCAAAGTCTTGAAGAATGACTGCCTTTGAGCTGTCGTAACAGTGTTGCAGTTAGAAGAGTAAACTATTGCTTGGATCAAATACAGATCAGTAAGAAGACTTTTTAAGGTAATAGATTTTAAACTATTAGCAATTAAACACTAATATATATAACATTCCCAATCTCAGGTCTCCTGCCCAACTTTCTAAAAGAAGTTCTGACTGCTTCCCAATGCATGTACTTCTCACTCCATTTAACCCTTTACCAACAAGAATCCTCTTTTCCAGAGCAAGTCAGTACCAAACCCACTACCAATTTACCTTAATTTCAAATGAATTGAGTCCCCTCATACAGACTTTGTTTCACAGAAATCTGATGTAAGTAATCACTCCCAGATGACAGCTCTTTTCATAATAATGCAGTTAAAGCAAAACAAAAGCTCCAACATGGCCAATGTACTCCAGGTAAAATTTCCACAGCTGGTCTTGGAGCCTGGTGAAGCTGCTCTTGTATAACCCTGACTTTCTCATCAAGAGATTCATAGACAAGGCAGTGATGTAGCATGGCTGAGCCCAGAAATCCGTTCTGCTTTCAGAAAGAAATCTGTCTTTTGCATCTAGTTCACACAAGGAGCAGGAGAATCCTTTTCAGCTTCCTATGCAGTGCTAGAGGAACGATACCTCTGAAATACGTGTGGTTGTATGGCACAGTTGTCTTGTTCAAAAATCACAGTCAAATAATACAAAGTTCATGTATTTACATTCCTCAGAATATGAATTGGGACACTCAGCTGTGCTGCTCTGTTTGTGACAGTGTCAGTCTCCAGCAGTGCATGTGTGGATTGGTGCTTAGTTTCCTTCATTTAATGACTATGCATATTTTCTTCTTGTTCCTTAACCTCTAGCAGGAGCAAATGTTTTGCAGCTAACATTAAAACAAGTCGGCTGTCCTCACTATTTGGTGTTCGTGCATTAAGCATGACAGTGCTTTGACTGAGAATAATACTGAGATAGTAGACTAGAGCAACGGAAGCACATTTATCTGTAACATAATTAGTCTCGTTTGTAAATATCCTTGGAAGTGATACCATGACTGTATTAAAGAAATGTTTAGTTTTTTATTGCTGCGCGTTGAACACTGAAATGACTTTGTGGTGGCTGCAAAGAAAAGGCAGATCGTGGCAGCATCTCCTACAACAAAGTCAAACCTTGCTGCCCAATTTGTGTGCAGTCTGAGGCAGAATCTACCTGAGACAGCACTGATGTTCTCCTTCCCAGTGTTTGTGGGGCGTGGGGGGCGCAGTGTTTATTTCTGATGTGAACAGAAGGTGGTGACAGGGAAAGCACATGAAGCAGAAGCTTCAAGACTTCACTTGGGCTGTCCTGACCACTTCTCTCAGTGAATAAATATCCCCACTCAGAAACTCACCTGATGACAGAGCTTTCCAGAGCTGCACGTAAGAACTCTGATATTAGATTAATGCCCTGCTCTGCTGAAGTGTTGGTTGGCTGACTGCAAGGTTCACTGTGCTGCCGTTAGATGAAAACCTGGTTTTACTTCAAGCAGTTCTCCTGAATTTCCCTGGAGTTTTAATGCTTTAGACATGTAGAAGCTAGTACACCTAGCACTAATGTTCCAGCATTAATGTTTATTTTCCTTGTCTTTCAAGGCAGTAGATACTCACTATACCATTGCCAGTTTATTTAACCTGATTTATGACTGCTGGGAGAACGGAATTTTAAAGCCAACGATGTCAGCTTTGTCTGCATGCCAGTGGAGATCCTTTAGCACAAAGCTTTCACTTCTCACCCTGACCCATTCACAACAGGTAAAGAGGTATTGTGATTTATTTTTTAAACAGTCATTGGTCCCTGAATGTGTTTTTAACTAGTGTAGATTGAGTAGTGTAGCCTCAGACCAGTAGCATTTAACCTCAGATGTTGATCTTACTGGGTTTTTCTGCCCAGCTGTCAGCTGAAACTTCAAGAAACCTTTTGTCTGTCTTGGACACGTGGCTTGCAGGCCTAGAAATGGGAGGTTTAGTCCCGTTCCTGGTAAAGTACTGTAGCAGCCTGCAGAGCTGCACCCTAGTGCATCATCCCTTGTGTTTTCCCTTATCAAAGCCTTTGCTTTCACCCCACGTACAGAGAAGGGCAGCGGATGAAGGAGGTACAAACACCTACTGCTGGGTCCTTGCACTGTTTTTGCTATGAACAGAGCTGCCTTCCCAAACTGGTACCTGGCAGAGCAGTTCTGCATTAAGGCCCAGTCTGGTCTGAGAAACCACGATGTGCTTCTCATTGCAATTAGGAGAGTTCATTGCTCTTATCCTGGAGAGAAGAAATCCAGGCTGTTGAGGAGATGGACAGAACAGCTTTGGACTGGTTTTGGACAGTTGTTTTGCCTTGATGTTAAATGCCATTGTTTGAAGTAAGGTGAGAGTTTGGGGTGATGATGACACTTGGTTCTCCAAACTCCATCTCCTGCTCTGGAATCAGTGACAGTGCAGCTCATCACTGCCTTGTTAATTAATTTAGCTTTGGGGTGGGGAAGTAAACTAGCGTTTACAGGAGGCTTGTTTTCACAAGTGTAACTTCTCAAATACAAAGCCCTTCTCTATTGCTTACCCAGTTTGTAAAACAGTGGGCAGCACTTGAAGCCACAATTGCTGGCATCTCAGCAACCACCTCCAAATAGGAAATCAGAGAGAACCAGGAGAAGAATGTCATCATTTTTTCTGGCAGCCACGTGGTAAGTGTGCTGACAGCAGCCGTTCAGTGCCCACCACAGTAAGTTTGTTGCTGTGCACTGGTTTAGCAATGCAGCTGGAAGCAAGGGCAATAGCAGAATTAGCCTCAAAGTGCTGGTGGTTGCAGCAGAAGGGAGATTTATAAGTTTCTAAACTGGAAGAAAAAGTTGATGGGATCTCAGTAAATAGAGGTGAAATGCTCCAAGTAGTTATCAGGACTGCTTTTCTCAACCCCCCTTTTGAAGCTTTCTATATCAGGCCCGTAAATGCACAAGCTACACTTGCATTTTAAATGTACACTGACGAGGGAAAGGGTTTATCCTTTAACAAGAGCTGTGGGATGCCTGCTAGTTTACTGCTTTGCTGCTACGTGAGATTAGCAAAGCTGCTTTTCCCATCTGGGCGGGTAAACAAGGAGGATGTGAGCTTGGCTCTATGCACCAAGATTCCTACTCTGCCTATTGAAGATGGAGGAATCTTGACAAGAGTTCAGCATTCTCCTGGAAGTCTCAGGCCAGGATGGCTTTTTACAGTTACATGGAGGTCAGCACGTCTGCACAGCAGTGTCTGCAGAGCTGCTGTTCTCACTTCTAGTGGAGGAGGGCCTTGTATCCACACTGTCACTTAATCTGTGCTAATCCTTTGCCAGACTCAGTTCTAACTCATACAAAGCGTGCATTAATACTTTACACTGGAGTTGTTTCCAGACCCTTGCTGACAGTAGGAATATTCTTTTTCCATAGCTGTATTTTATTACTGCTGATTCAGTTTTCACTTGTCTTTATTTGAGATACCCAGAACTCCTGCTGCTCTGTCACCTGCGTAAGGACCTCAGCAGTGTCACAACTGCCTCTACATGACTAGCCAGAGCAGTTTCTATTGCTGCAACACAGCAGGTACACAGGGCTCCATACTAACATTAACTGCATTGCTATCCAAGCTGTGTGCATTACAGAGCAGCAAAGGGAGTTTGCAAATTTCCTGCACTGTCTTAGGCTTCAGCTAAATCATTCCAAGTGTGTGCATCTCATCTGGAGTACCTCCATCACAGAAGGACTCTTGCACTGCTGAGAGCCTACAGCCAGAGTTCCAGGGCCACACCAATCCTGTAGCACTCTTATTTAACACTAAGCATAATAAGCCAACCCCCAAAGGGGAAAACCCAAGAGCCACCCAAACAGAACAGTTCACATAAGATTTAATTTAATTGCTCTGCTAATTTAATGGATCTCTTCATGCTGCTTCAAATTCTGTTCTGCAGTGTAAGTGTTGTAGCTGGCAGACTGCACGGTCCAAGCTGAATGAAAAGCATAGATGAGTTCTCATCTTCAGTTTCTGGATTTTTCTTTGGAGATTCAGTTCACGAGAGGGTCTGACAAAGCTGCTGTGAATGTTGATGCTATGTATATGGCACATTTTGTAAACGTGAAGCAAACTGGGATGAATGTTTTATATACTGCATTGTAATCCTGCTCCTTTTTTTAAATTCTAAATAAATAAATAAAGTACTTGTTTGTAACGTATGTATTTTAAGGAAGTGACTTCTTGGGAGGGACACAGAGTGCCAAGAGCTGGAAGGGACAAGAGAAGGTGAGGCATGTAAAGCACACGGTCTTTGAGCATAAGGCTTCGCACTCAATAAAAGTCTCACTTCCATAAGGACGACACAGAGCAGCAGATTTGACCCCGTGCCTTTTGAAAGTGGGATTTCTCAGCTATGACATACGAAAGACTTGAAATACAGGAGCTGTGGGAAAGGTGAATGCAGAGCCAGGGGCTGTTTGTGTCAAGGGAGCTGCATGGTGCAGACGGGCAGCTCTTCTCAGTCTCTGACTGCTGTAACCCTGGGCCTCATTTGCGCTATGAAAGGATAAATGTTTTTAGCCTAGGCTGCCGAAACAGGATAAAAAGATCAGCTCTTGATTTTAATCTTTAAAGAGATGAGAAGAAAAGAAAGTTTTAGTTCTGCATCTCTAACAAAGTGGCTTGCTGGAGAAATGGAACAGTTGTGCCTCATTTAATTAATCCCGAGAAGTTATTTACAATGGAAACTATTTGGTTAAAACAAATACGGAATGCTGAGCTCTTTATGAACACCCAAATAACCAGGTTGGGGATGAATAAGCACTGTTCATCTGTTGTTGCACACAGAGGAAGGGAGAAGTAAGAAGTCTGAGACATGATTTAGAGGCAAGTTCCACGGATCTGGACGATGACTTCCCAGCTATGGCACTTGCAGTTTCGACTCCTAGGTGCCACAACACTGGTGGTAAAGCCAGAAGGATGACCTGAGGTCCTCAGCTGTACAGCCCTTCCCTCCTCACCTGTGTAGGTTCAGCCCCTTACCCCTGACACCCTAAGTGCTGCATGGCAGCTCTCCAGATCCACAGTTACACTAAAGAAGCAACTTGCTTCCAAGGAAGGGGTCTGACAATCACTTTTTTCTTTTCTTCCATAGAAAGAAACTGTTCTGGTTGGAGAAAGAGGAGAACAACCCAGGACAGCCTGCCTGTAGAGAGGAATAAACACTGTATGAGTAAGAGCAATCCAGAAGTCACCTTTGAGGCTGTGTTTTATGCAACTTGACCCAGATGGGCAGTTACAGGGTCAGAACTGCAGTTTGCACCTCTGAGAAGCAGACCCTGAGGCACAGGAACAAAAAGCTTAAGGAGCTGTAAGGATGCCTCCTTCTCTTCCTTCCATCATACAGCTTCTACAACACCCCGTGAATGGACGTAAAACCAGCTACAGCTAAGATTTCTGTGCTGGCATCCTCACCTGAGATGTGTGCACCTAAACCCTTAAAGGAAAGCTGAGAAAGCAAAAAAGGCAGGGTAAATCCTTCAAGGGCCACAGGCACCCCTGCAGAGACAGGGCTGGAGGATTGGGTTTTCTACCCACAGCACCTGAGTGTCCTTCCACAAGGCACACGGAGGAGCCGCTCTGTGGAGCAGGCAGATGGGGAAGTTTGTGGAACAGCTGAATGCGTTCGTTTTGTTGCAAGTTACATCATTACCAGCATAACCTATGGAGTGCAGCACAGCCTCCAGACAGCCCTCCCTGCAAAGTGTCTTTGGAAAACTGATGAAAGATGTCTGCTCCAGGACTGGGCACACGGTGCAATAAGTAATGTCTGTTCCCTGCTGTGTTCTTACCGCCTCCTCTTTACCGTGTTTCTCTCATTGCTTAACATTTGTTTTGCCGGAATAAGATGCTAATAAAATCAAGAACAGTTACCAAATTGGTTTTCAAGTGTTGCATTCCAATTATAAAAACCTAATTCCTCCTCCCATCCGCTGAACCTTTTTGGTATTAACAGGCTTTACTATGCAAAGTGATGCAGGGGCTGTTTCGTTTACAGTAATTAAATGAATGTCAATTGTTTTAGTTGTTTCCGAGGGAGAGTTCTACACGAGTATTAGCATGTTCTGCTAACCCTTACGTTCTGCTCTTCAGGCCTGCTGCAAACCCTTGGGGGTTGACCATTGACCTGAGACTGCGTACCCAGACATGCCAAGTGCATCTCAATGAGACAAGCTCTTTTTCTCAGTTTCTATGGAACCAGCAGAGCGGAACTAATATAACGTCCGCATATAGATGAAAGAATGAAGAGGAAAAAGGGCTTTACAGCTAAATTAATTAAGCAGATGTACCTGTCTAATTAAAGACAGGCCGTCCCTTTTGTACCCTAGCTGCAGTACAAACAGTATTTAAATACACTCTCTACCCATTTCATCTATCAAAATATTTAGTTGGAACACTCAGATGAAGGTGATATTAGCGAGATGAGCTTCCCATGTATTATTAATAGAAGGGCTCCCAATTATGCATGAATGCTACAGCATATCTTTATAGTAATAGCATAAAAAACAGCTGCCCAAACAGGTTACCAAACAGCACATTTGTAACAGGTAAAACTGTTATAAATGCTCTGGCCCAGCTTTACACAAGGGTTTGCAGTCAGGCCCTGCGTGGCTGTTCCTGGCACCGTGAGTTGAATTTCTCAGTGCAAGAGGCACAGAGGACTCAACTCATATTGCCAGTACTAGAGACTAACTTATTTATCCTGAGATCTTTAATGCTATCCCTCATTTTGGCAAATCCCCGCTCATCAAACCTCCCAAAGGTTTTGAGAATTCTGACCTTAAACTCTCATCATCCCTACCCCAAATAACACAGCACCACCGGAGCCACCCAGCTAAGCAGGGCCTTCCCAACCAAATTTACTCCGCAGGTGCAAGGAAGGATTTGAGCACACATATCCTTATGGTACTCCATATACTTGATTAAAGACAACAACAGGGACATACTTGATAGCAGCAGGAGCAGAGAAGTCACAGAACCAAAAGGCTCCTGGGGGCACACGCATCCTACCTCTTCCTAGACATAAAGACTTCAAGGAGAAAGCTGAGGCACCCTCAACCCCTGCTCAAGGGGAGCTCACACTCATACACAGCAGAAACAGTCATAATAAAGGCATCAAACTCAGTGAATCGCAACAACAAATCACACTCCTTCCTTGGAAGCATGAAAGATGCACGTTCCCATAGCCAGGCTCTAATTAATAGTGCTGTACTTCTCACCTCTCGTGATTTTCTAATTAAGAAAGACTTACCTGAATTTTAGGGCAACCCGATCCAGGCAGAGCAAACCCCAGCCAAGCTACAGCAGCCCCAGGTGCAACCCCAGCCAGCAGGAAATAAGATGGGAATAGCTGCTACAGAAGAGCCTCTAACACAGGCTGAGAGCCTCGTTATGCCCTTAATTGGGTTCTAAATGTGATGAACCTGCTCGTGGTTTTCTGTGACTCTAGAAACTATCTCCTGTTCTTCTGAGTGTTTCTGCCTGGCTGTGTGATTGCAGAGCAGATCGCAGGGACCGTCCTGCTGCTCTGCCAGAGTATTTTAAGAAAGTTGAGTGAACAAGGGAACAAAAAACCAAAGAACATCTAGTAGCTTTAATATTGTAAGTTATGTATGGATATGACATGGTTAACATAAAACTGCTAATTGCTCCATTGCAGAGTCAGGAAAGGACATCTGAATCAAACACAGGAGCTTCCTTAGCTGCCACCCTTCATAATTTGGATCACAAAACAAAAGCAAAACAAAAATCCCTAAAAGCACAATCTCTTATTCTGTCTTCACCTTGGTGAGCTCTGAATCTAACACTGCTTGGTTGAATTCCTGTTCCCCTGTGAATGTGCCACATCAGTGACTGGATTGCAAGCACTGCAAGGAAAAATTGAAACCAACTATCCAAGAAATCAACCTTAATTAATTAGAAGCATTTAATTTTTTGCACGGAAGGGGCTTAATGATACAGCTTTCTATAAACTCAAAGATAGGATATGAATCTTGATCAGCATTGACGTCAAAGGCGTCTTCATAAAACTCCTGCAGATCCCTGACGTTCCTGTGATAGGCGTCCACGCGTTTCTCAATGTTCTCCTCCTTGTCCTTGGGGTTCTGCTTGAGGCGGGCTTGGATCTTCGCAGTGGGCGCTGGTCTGAGTGTCGTGTGGTATCTGCAGATAAGACACAAATGTCACCTCTTCAGCTCAGCTTGAGGACACAGCAGCCATCGCCTCACTCACTCCATGGTTCTCCTACCGCTGTTCCTTTCTGGTCTAGGTTGGAAACTTCAAGGTAAGTTAACCAGCATTCCTGCTCTCAGATACTCAAGAACCAAGAGGTTCCCTTGAAGTGGTGCAGAAACTGCTGCCAGTGTCTGTCTGCTTTGTTGGAGGCAATGCAACACTGCTTCCCGTAAGGTGCAGATAAACCCCTGCCCTGTGCCCAATGCTGCAAATTAAGAAGCACTTCTGGATCTGTTCTGGCCCCGCTCTCCCATGCCTGCTTCTGGGAGGATGAAAGATAGAATGTAATTCTTGGTGTCTTTTTATAGTAGCTGGAAATAAAAAGAGCTTGATTCGCTCTGAGGTAGATTTTAGTTACTTCTGATTTCCAAAACGCTAAAATTTGGCTCTCCTGAACTCGCAGCTGTGGATTTACAGAGGCAGAGGATTTCCATCAGCAGAGTCCAGCCCAGCCTGCCCACACAGCTGATGCCAGAAGGTATTCAGACAATGATTCTGTATTGCCAGAGGCTCCCAGCAATTGCTAAAAGCTCTTTTGCAAACACGTATTTAAATTTTCTGCCACAGTATTTCTGCTTCTGACTGATCCTCTCCTGCCCCCTTTGCTCCTGATGTCACAGAGACAGTGCATCCCTCTATAGTAAAGCCAATTTTCCTGAAACCATTGGGATAGAAGCAACAACAAGGAGGAAAGCAGAGCCTCTGCACAGAACTGCATTGCAGCTCCAGCTGGTTCCACGATGTGGGAACAAAATTCATTCCACGTGAGGATTATTTAGGATACAGCTGAAGGCCACCCGCCCTCCTCACTGCATTTCAGCCAGTGATGCAGCTTTAATATAATGATGAGGATTAGATACAGCATCTAAAACAATTCAATTCACAATGAATTTGTAAGGAATAAAACCCAGACTTTGGAAGAAG